CGTGGAACGCACGCAGCATGCAGGCCGTGTTTCGGGGTGCGAGCCCACGGCGTGTCCTCCCCAGGTACGTGCTGGACGACCAGTACACGAGCTCCTCGGGGGCCAAGTTTCCCGTGAAGTGGTGCCCGCCCGAGGTGTTCAATTACAGCCGCTTCAGCAGCAAATCCGACGTCTGGTCCTTCGGTAAGACCCATGGCCCTGTCTCCCCGGCTGCTCCGAAGAGGAAGTGGGTGCACCCTTTAGCGAGCCCGATCCTTTTCCAGGTGTCTTGATGTGGGAAATATTTACCGAAGGCAGAATGCCCTTTGAAAAGAACACCAATTACGAAGTGGTGACCATGGTTACGCGAGGCCACCGACTGCACCGGCCCAAGCTGGCGTCCAAATACGTCTACGAGGTGATGCTGAGGTGCTGGCAGGAGGTACGGGCACTTTTGTGCCTTTTTTCTGGACTCTCGAAGGCGGTGGGGGATTGGGCTTGGTGCGTGGCTGAGGCTCCGTCCTCAGAGCTCACAGTGACAGCCAGCTCAGGGCGGGAGGCCTGCCCTCCGTGCAGTTCCGAGTACGGGAAGGAGCGGGTGAGTAAGTGGAAACGCTCCGATGGTGTCCGGGCTGCAGCTCAGTCCCATGTGCCATCGCCCCACCATTGTCTGGGCTGGGGACTCAGGACTCACTCCTGTCCTTCCAGGGGCTCACAGACGACTTCTCTAGACTTCAGTTTGCCCTGGTTCCCTGACGCATGCTTCTTGGAAGTCCCACAGACGCTTCGAATGACTGGGCACGGCCCTACAGGCCTGCTGACGCCTTTGAGCTGCGGGGACTGTACTGTGGCCACCCTGCAGTGATGAGATTAGGGCTTAGGAAGTTTGCATACCCAAGGCCTTTGGCTCCAGGGCAGCAGAGGCTCTGGCTGAGGTGGACAGAGGCCTCTGGGCAGGAAGTGGTGCTGGGTGGGGGAAAAGAGCGTGAGCAGAGGGAAGGAGGTTATCAGCGTGCCGTGGCCACAGGCCGGAGGCTGGTCTGACTTCACAGAGTCCGTGTGGGGGAAATGGAATTGGGTAACGAGGGTGGGGATGGGCCGGTCACAGAGGGCCCTGCAGGTCCACACGGCCTGTGGGTCTTGCAGGAGGATGCACTCTGGGGTCGTAGAGCAGAATGGTGAGCGCAGTGTCCACAGAGGTGAGGCCACAACAGCACATGCAGGACAGTGGGGTCACGACAGACCCGTGCAAACAGGCCCAGAGCCATGACAGCCTCTGCTGTGAGCGAGCGTTTTGTTCTCTTGCGTGGGTCTGGAGCCCACAGCTTCTCTCTGCTTTGCAGAAGCCCGAGGCGAGGCCGTCCTTCGAAGACCTGCTGCGCACCATCGACGAGCTCGTCGAGTGTGAAGACACCCTTGGGAGATGACCGGGTGATGGCGTGCGGCCGGGCGCCCGGATCCCGGAGCAGGCGGAGTCACGGCACTTGGTGGCTACTTAATTCACGCCACCCCGACGGGTGGGTGGTTTTACTCAGAGCTGAAACACCTGAGGACACCTTCGTGTCTAGGCCGGCCTCAGCTCCGGGACCATCTCCCCCTCATGCCAGTGCTGCCTCAGAGCTGGCGGCAGGACGCACCCACGTCTCTCCCTCCCTCGGGCACCTGGTGCCTGCCGTGTGCCTGACACAGGCCCGGGCTAGGCTTTGCCCGTTTGGGGTGCACGTGGGACCGTGTTAGCTGGTGCCAGTCGAAGGCCAGGGTGACGGGGAGGGCAAGGTGCAGAGCCAGGTCCCAGCAGCCCTTGGCCCTTGGACTCCTGCGGAGGTCTGGGCGGGGACATTGCTGAGAATCGGGTTCCACCTTCCGTTTTGGAAACATCTCCGTTTTCAAGACTGCTCTTAGTATTATATTAAAAAAAACTTTGTATTGTGTAAATACTGTGAATAGATATAATATATAAAGTTATATATTTATAAGAAACGTGTGTCATCTTTTTTCAAACAATTATTTAATTTCTATCCTCATTGTTATTTTTTAATTTGCTGTAGGGTATGTGTGCTCACAGAGAGAGAGAGACAGAGAGGAAAAATGAGAAAGCGAGCCAGCAGGGCTAGGACTTGAACCATGGTTGGCCATGTGGGAGTCCAGCGCACCAACCCCCATGCCACCTGCTGGCCCCATGCATCATCTTGTAATCAAAACTTAACTGCAATATGTGAGTGGTCAATCTTGGGCCTGGAGACTGTGCCCTACAGCCGTCAGCTTCTCTTCCCCTGGGGAGAAGTTCTCCCTGAAGAGAGAAACATCTGGACCCTTCTATTGCCCATGTCCCCGTCCTCATGCAGGCAGTTGTGTTTGGGCTGCCTGTCCGTTACAGGGTTCTTGGGTTCTCTGTTTCCAACAAAGAGTTGCAGACAGAGCCTGCAGAGAAGCAGGGGGTAGAGAACCTGGATTTCGCTGAGCCAGAGAAGCACACGCTCGGGAAGGGAGAGCCGGGGGCCGAAGGTGGACCAGCGCTGGGCCATCTGGATGGGTTTCTGTTTTGATACTCTGGCTCCTCTCCTGGCCCTTCCCTGGCTGAGCCCTCTCCTTCTGTCATGGGGACATCTATGGCTGATGGACAGTGGCTTCCTAACCTCATTGTGCACCTGCATTTTCCCAGAATGCATCACGAAAGCCCCTGAAGAGGGTCCAGTCGCAGTGTGGATTTGAGCTGAGGGAGCACAGGCAGCTGAGGACATGCCGTGCCTTCTTCACGCGCATGTTCAGCCTTGGTGGGGGCTCGGCCTCGGGGCGTGGTGGGGACTCTCAGAGTTGGCTGCTACCCCTTCCATCTGGAACTGCTGGCCGCAGACCAGTCCGGGCAGGACTTTCCATCCTGGGGTGGGGCAGGCCTGTCTCAGCTGCTCATGCCTCACGGATCCCTAACATGCCCCCAGAAATGGAGACCCTTGGTTTTTCCGGGGACCTGGATGTGTCACCTGGCTGTTTCCTGCTGGGAGGAGCGAGGTGGGGCCCCGGGCTCCTCCTCTTGCTGACTCAGGGGAGCCTACACCCCACGTAGACTTGCTCAGTTCGGGCGAGGGGACCCACAGCTAGAAATCAGCTGGTGTCTTTGACCTGGTCCTTGTGCAGCCATGTGGCCTGGAACCTGGAAGAGGTGGAACAGGGGTTCTGGCCACCAACAAAACCAGAATCAGCACCAGGGGTCCCACAAATGGGTGTAACCAGGAGAGCCAAGGCTGAGGGCTATCCCCACCTTGCTGTCCCGCCTCAGCCCGCCTGATCCACTCGGAGGCAGCTTCGTCTCCAGCTTCACCCAGAGCCCTGTTCTTCCTGTAGGAAGGCCTGACATCCGGCTTCGAAGGACTGTGGCCTCTAGGGAAGTCGTTCGTCCCTGAACTGTAGCGAGGGCTGCTGCCACCTCTTCACTGAGGTGGGCCAGGGCCCGTGGGGGATGCATGCTCCCTGTCCCGGTGTGGCCCTGCCACTCCTGCTAGCGGAGATTCCTGAGGAGGGGCGTGCACGGTGCTCTCTGCTTTTGTCCACAGAGACTGGTGGTGACCGGCAGTGAGACTGACTCTGTCCCGTCCAAGTAGATAATCTTAGCAGGTCTACGGGCCAGACTCGCTGGAAGCGTGCATATCTGGTAGTTCTGCAAAGACAGAGCTCCAGGGGACGGGGCAGACAACCCAAAGGGGAAAGAAGAGGTGGGAAGTTTGGTCTGGTGGCTGGTGTCTTCCTGGCCAAAAGTGAGCAGGTAGCACGAGGTAGAGGTTGAAGCCTGGGGTTACACCGGGTTGTGGTGGCTTCAGAACTTTCCTACAAAGTGTAAAACCTGCAAAGAGCCTCCCTCAGGTAGCGTGGCAAATAGAACCCGGCACTTGCTCCGGGTTGTCACGTCATCCAAATGGCAGGGGCCAGAGCAGTGGTAGGAGAGTAGCAGGTGCCCCTGAGAAAAGCCGTCCCGCATGCCAGGGGGCCCTGGGGGACAAGCACAGGGGCCGTGTGACATGGACATGTTTCTGGAAGGCTTCCTTCAGCAGCAGTGCTGTCAGGTCAGGTGCGTGTATGGCCATTGCTAGAGGAGGACAGGATCCTGACAGAGTTTGTTCGAGCCGCTGGGGAGGCCGCACAGGGGGAGCCAGAGGGAGCAGCTGGGTCGTGGACGGTCCCTGGACGGGAGACGCTTGAGAAGTGCCTCCATGACATCCTGGAAGCGAGTTTCCTGGACTGTAGGAAGCACATACCCGGAAATGGGTCCCCATCTAGAAAGGTCTGCTGGGATTCCCACTCCTCGACTTCCCTCTGGAGACAAAGCCAGCAGGGCGGGGCAGGTGACCTTGTGTAGATTTCCAGCCCTTTGAAGAGTGTCCAGGTACCTCAGCTGGACAGTCCGGCTGCAGCTGTTGAGCAGGGCATGTGGGGAGAGTGAAGGGTCATTGATGCCTACCACAGAGCTGGCGGGCAGGGGAAGAGGTGAGCCCAGCCCAGAGGGAAGGGCGTGAGTCGCGACGGCACTGCGTTGGCCAGACGCGGGCTCTCAGCCTCACCGCGCAGTCGAGCAGGAGAGGCCTGGCCGATGGCGTTCAGCTCCTCATCCTGGCTGGTCACTCTCAGAGTGCAGGAGTCTGCTGGGTCCGCTGCCTCTCACGCCTCAGGGCCGTCTGCAGGTGACTTCCCAGGCTCCACTCCTGCCTGTTGCTTTAAGTCCACGATTCCTGGAAGGTTAAAGGGGAAGGGAAAGAAGGGAGTATTGGATCGAGGCCCCGCCACACTGGCTGTAGCTGAGAAGGGGGGTTCCATCCTTCCAGGCGTTGCTAAGGACCTGGGAACCAGGGGGGGCGAGTTTCCTTGGGCACGTGGTTTCCGTGGTAGCCCCCGTGGTAATGCCAAGGCCAGTGACGAAGGGAGTGAGTTGGGTTGCTTGATGGGCTCACCGTGAGGTGGTAAATATGGAGTGGGCAATGAGTCCTTTCCAGGGGAAGTGGGAATTCGGGGTAAGCAGGGATGGGCCTGGGTCCCACAGAGGAAGCGAAGTCCTGCAGGGGGTGGAAAGAATGGACGCAGGAGTCAAGGTCGTTTCAAACGTGACCGCATCCTCACCGGCTACTCCAGATGTGACACTTTTTTTTTTTTTGGAGATGTTTTTGCTCTTATAGGGCGCGTGCACTCACCAGACAGACAGAGAGAAACAGAGACAGAAAGCGAGAAATCACCCCCCCAGGGGGGATGGCCACACCGCAATCCCTTCTCCATTCTCCTCTAAGGATCTTGGGCATTCACGCACACGCACCTGGCGTGTTTTAAGCCACCGGGTCCGGGACTTGAACCGCAGTCAACTACGTGGGAATCCAGCGACATAGCCATTACGCTAACTGCTGGTCCCGAGATGTGACACTTGTTGTCAACGTCAGGGTTACCAGGGCCAGACCGATGTCTAGCCCGCGTGCAAGGCCAGGTTTGATCTTTCTGGAAAAGGATGTGCTGGGCAATGTCTAGGAGAAGGGTAAGTTTTGAAACTTTGGGTATGACCCACCATCGTTGGGTTGAATCATACAGATCAAAAACTTCAGCTTGTGTTTTCCTAAATTTTAGCCCATTAGTCAATATAGAAAAGTTTCTTTCATAAGATTACCTTTGTAAATCTTTCCAACTCCCTCTCAGACGCTCTCCAGCAGAGCCCTAACCTTTAACGACATGCTTTGAACTTTCAGTATTTGTTCTTCCTCCTCCTATTTTATTTTAGGGGAAAAAAAATTTCCCTTATGAAATTCTTTATAGGAGTTTTCTCTTTTCTTTTAGGCTTTCTTAACACAAACAAACCCTTCTGTCTAAAACTTCCTTTCCATCTCGCTCTTTCCTCCTTACTGTTTTCTTTCTACCTTGTTTCCCTTTTTATAAGTTTACTGTTGGAAACAACCTTTAATAGCCTCAGCTTTAGACAAAAATTATTATTATTGTTAATAAAAGATCACAGGTCAAGGAGAAGGAAGAGAAGACAGAGTAGATGGCCCCCATGTCTGTGAGAAATCTCATGGGCCTTCCTGCCACATCCAGGGTGACCCAGCCCCAGGTCGATGTCACAGTTGGCACAGGAGCTATCTGGCCCTTGAGGGCCCGAGATTCATTGGTTAGGGCCTCAGGGTCTTTCTAATGGGGGGCAGTCAGCCCTCAGCGGCCCCTTTGCACGCACGGTGGACGGGGTGTCCCGGAGGCCAGCCCCGACTGGGCCTTTCCATTCCCATGGCCAGGCTGCCTCAGAGGTGCCATCTGTCAGGAGCGCCCAAGGGCAGCTTCCAGGCACAGGTGGTCCTGGAAGGGAGCCCATGGCCGGCCTTGTCTTTTCTCCTCACGTTTCTCCCACTGAACTCATGTTTTTCTTCTTCCTCATCTCTGTTAGGAAAGGCCGAGGGGGCAGTCATCAATAGTCCATCCCCAGTGAGTTTTCGGAGCTTCTCCGTATGTCTGCATAGACCCAGTAACGAACCTGGCCCTGGAGGGTGACCTTTCCTCCCTGGTCTCCGGATCCAAGCGGCCTATTTGGTCATGGCCTCCCGTAGGGCCTGTTTGGTCATGGCCTCCCTTGGGCTTTCCAGGAACCCCGCTGGGCTCCCATTAGGAGCCTGGGCGTGTGGAGAACATTGTAGCTAACGGGATTCACCAGCTGGCTGAGTCCCTGGTTACTATGGAGGAGGAAGTGATCACGCCCTCGTCCCTCCTCTTCGCCGTCATTACGCGCACTTTCTCTGGCAGCTGGAGTTGGGTACGTGTTGGGTGTGCTCAGGTGTATGGGGCTCCTTCAGCACCCCTTCCTTCTCAGTGTCAGATGACATCGGTCCCCATCTCCCTATCACGTCTCTCCAGCGCAAGGCAATGCACCCCAGGGTTGAAATCCCTCTGTGAACTCACCAGGGCCGTCTGAGAGTTTCCTCAGTTCTGCCTTTGTTTGTTTCTGCTCTAGAAGAGAAAAA